AGTTCCTTCCGTTACAAAACACTTTACACTTTCCCCATCTCATTGATTCTCTCTTGTTTGTCAAACATTTTGCCACTGACAATAATATTTTCTTTGAGTTCATCCATACTTTTTGTTGTGAAGGACATCACCACCAATCAAATTCTTCTTAGAGGAGAGAGCTCAGGAGATTATACAAATTTTCGGTAGTTACATAGTCTAAATTTATATAATATATAAGAGTTTATCAATCTTTATTTTATATATAAAAAACATTTAGCTTACAAAGACACAAGACCGGCACCAATGAACCTCCATATATATATATATATATATATATATATATATATATATATATATATATATATATATATATATATAATCCTTGACTAATATTACATTATAGCCAATAATATAGCAAGATTTTGCAAGGTTTAGCAGAAGTCATATAATTAGTCATAATTAATGATTACATATTCATATCCTTTTACAAGATGTTACTCATTTGACTTTGCTTATAAAAAATGTGAAATGCCCTCACCCCAAGCTCCATATTTTAATTCGACAAGATAGTATAGAGTGATAAATTAGACTGACTCAGCGGTCAATTAGGTGGGAGAACTAGTGTTAGGATCAAATGATTAATTATCACTACGTTAAAAATTATACCTCGTAACAAAGACGGAAACCGCTACATATTTTAGAGCCAAGATGTTAGACTTCGCCAATAAGACCTTCAACCAACAATCACCAGATCACATGATCCTGGATTTAGCCCTTCACTGGCCTCTGTCCAAGACTCAATATCAGTGCCCACCACATTAGGTGAAACTCTCACACTCAACGAACTATCAAGACTCAATCTTGTCTCCTTATCTATAATTTACCAGTTAAGAACCAATTCATTTGCTGGTATGAAGTTACTCATTCAACTTCAATTTGTTTGGTAAGTAAAAGCCTTTTTTTTTTTTTTTTTTAATTTTAATTTCTCATCTTGACTGCAGTATGTACTGCAGTCTGCAGTGGTTGGTAAATTTCTTGCAGGTTAGTTACAACTGCACTAGTTTTGGCTGCATATTTCAATTCAACGTTACGTTAATACCAAGATGTTTTGTCATCGTCATAATTTTTATTTAATAACGTTTTAATCTACTTTCGTTGTTTTGAACATTTCTTGTGTGTGTAATTAAAGTCAACAAATCCTATTATATGTATGCGTTTGATGTGGTCAGATCAGACGACGTTCTTGTGTTCAGAAGCTTACGTTTTCTTATGGCATAATTAACAGGAGATTAGTGGATAATGGATATAGTACTATTCGTGTTTAACATGTATATCTCCTTGAATTCTTCATATTATAATTCCATGAATATGATATTTCTAGGTTCACATTTACGCGTTTACATTTGGTATTTACTCGATTGCTTAACTTGGAGTTTATCTTAGCTAGGTTACTCAACATACAACTAAGATACATATATAGGTATTCATTATTTACATTTTCAATGGCTTTTGAATTGGGGAATGAATCAATTCAAACCCCACTTAAGTGCCCCAAGAAAATTTCTTTCCCAACAATTAAGTTTAGCCTATACCTAATGGCCATTATTATACATACTAGTAATTCACCCACGCGATGCACGAGAAAAAATTATGTTATTATAAATATAAATAAAAAATAAAAAAACTAAAATATTTTGAATTATTTAATATAATAATATTTTTGAGCTTCCATTCGTCAAGTATTTATTATTTTTATAGAATACAAAATTATAATTAAAATTATAATTATAATTTTATATGGTTAATACAATCTCTAATTATGTGCATATTCAAATAAACTTATAGGGAGAATTTACATAATTACATTGATTTATTCTTAATTGTATTTCATCTATATTATAATTTTCACAATACGAATAATAACTAAGATAATTATATTTGAAAAGCAAATTTCAAATTTTGTATGTGTAAATTTAAACTCTAATTGAACACATTTTTTATATGATTATATAATATATAGCTATTTTATTTTTCAAAAGTATATTTTTTATATGATTATATAATATATAGCTATTTTATTTTTTAAATGTTGTGTTTTTTTTTTTATCACAATACGAACAATAACTAAGATAATTAATTTGGAAAGCAAATATTGCATTGTAGTATCTGTTCATATACTTTCTCAACCTACTGAAACACAAAGAGCCAATAACGCCTCCACTGAGGCTCAAACTCACAACCTTCCAAATGGAAGTCCAACCCGGATACCATTAGACCACATAGTCCTGGTTTTACAAATAGGTCCTACCGGGAGTCAAAAGTATATTTTTTATATGATTATATAATATATAGCTATTTTATTTTTCAAAAGTATATTTTTTATATGATTATATAATATATAGCTATTTTATTTTTTAAATATTGTGCTTTTTTTTTTTTTAATAATAAAGGATGTTGTGGCATTAATTGTAACATTAATTATTTCCCAAAACATATAGCTTTATTATATAAAGGATTTCTCTCTATTTATTTATTATCGCTTTAAATTGGCCAGTCTTGGTGTATTTCAAGTAAGTTAAAATAAACTTTAACTTATATAATCAAGTAAACACATCTACAATGTGTGGATGATAATCAAATAAATACACGTATAAGTTGTGGATGAGATCGATGGCGTGTGGATGATAATTAAGTATTTTTTTTTTTGAAAAGTATAATTAATTAATTAATCACACTTATAAGTTGTGGATGATAGCGTCCATCTTTTACCTATTATTTCTTTTAGTTTAAATTGATCTGTTATGAACTTTTGAACAATTTTATCTAAACAAGTTTACCTCTTTATATACAGACTTTGATTGTAAGGCGCATTTCACCTTGAAACGACACATTGAACAAGTGTTCCAAACCCTTTCCCATTAATCAAGGAGTAATAACTAAACTAAATTCAATATAAAATCAAAATTCATTAATTCATTGGTGTTCAAGTCCTAGGGCAAGTAAGGCCCATTAAAATTGGTCCAAAAAGTATATCTTTATTAAAGAAAGAAAAGATAATTCCATTTTATCTTCCAAGCTTCGACACAGATGTAGTACGTACAGTTACTGGTATTACTACTCAGCCCATTTGAGTCTGCCATGTCTAGGAAATTGTTGGGCACAGATTTAAAATATCAAGTTCAGACTTATTTTTACTTTTGGCCTCTGAGTATAAGATTATTTTTATATTTAATTTTGATTATTAAAATTTTTAGATTTGATCGGGTGATTTCTAATCCGAGACTTAACACATAATAGTTAGCGATTCTAATTAAATAATTTGTATAGCGATTCTATAATATAATTTTAATTTATTTAACTTATATTTTAACATTATGTAATATTTGTATTTTGTAATTATAATATCATTATTTCGACATCATATTAACTTATAAAGTTGATTATATATATATATATATATATATATATATATATATATATATATATATATATATATATATATATATATATATATATATAGTTTATACTGTTATATAAGTTTACTCAAGGCGTTTGGTTGAAGGGATTTTAAATTCCCTTCCCACTTAGTTCTCATCTAATTTCAAAGGCCACAAATTTTTTTTATTTGGTAGAAAGGAATTGCAATTTCTCCATTTTCATGGAATTAAAGTCTCATGTCCCCCTTAAGATTTTAATTCCTAGGATTTTAGGAAGAAAAAAAAATAGTGATGAGTCAAAATTACCCTTTCTTTTTTTTTTGTTAAAACTTAAAATTAATGTCTAATAACAACAATTGACATTTTTAACTTTATACTACTTATTCCATTTCAATTCCTATATATATCAAACATTGAAATTAAAATTCCCAGTAATTTTATTTTTGTAAACTAAATACTGGAATTTAAATTTTCACTTTATTTCTACTAATTCATCTCTCATGAAATTGCAATTTCTTTCCCACGTAATTCCCTCTCTCTAACCAAATGCCCTGTAATAATTCACTTAGGTTGTGTTTGGAAACCTGGAAAATGACTTCTGGAAGTCATTTTTCGGGTTTCCCATGTTTGGCAAGGTTTGGAAAATCCAGTCAACGGAAAACATTTTTCGTTGACTGGGGAAAACCAAGCCAATTTGGCGGAAAATGACTTCCGACAAATTTTGGCGGAAGTCATTTTCCGCCAATGACCAATAATGTTTCCGGCGGAAACCAGAACATTGGTTTCCGCCGGAAATCTTAAAAAAAAAAAAAAAAAAAACAGTGAGGAAGGGGAAGGGAACCAGAGATTCTCTCTGGTTCCTTCCGGCGAGAGAAACCAGAGAGAACTTCTCTCTGGTTTCCTTCGCAGGAACCTTCTCTCTGGTTTCGCCGGAAGAAACCAGAGAGAAGTCTGGGAAACCAGAGACTTCTCTCTGGTTTCTTCCGGCGAGGGAAACCAGAGAGAACGTGTTTCCCTCGCCGGAACCATTTTTTTTTTAATAATTAATATTATTTGCTTTTAAAAAATAAATTTTATTATAATTTTTTTTATTTTAAATAAAATAACTAATTATATAAAATGGTTAATTATACAATTTTATCTCATTTTCCGAAAATGAACCAAACACACAAAGACTGTTTTCTGCCGTGCTGCCAAACACAAGAAATGGAAAATGTTTTTCGAAAAATGACTCATTTTCAAGAAGTCATTTTCCAAAAGTCATTTTCCTGCTTTTCAAACGGACCCTTACTTAAAATTTTATCACTAATAACTAAATTTTAAGTTGGATTGACCAGATTTAAAAATTGTAGGCCAAATCTATAAATTTTAATAATCGAAAATCAAATATGATAAGAATTTAAAAATCATAGGACTAAATCAAATATGATAAGAATTTAATAAAAGTTATGTCTTCGCTATTAACGAATGATATCATACTCATGTCATAGGTTCCAGCTCTAGTTATAACTATGACAAAAAAAAAAAAAAAAAAAAAAAAAAAAAAAAAAAAAAAAAAAAAACATTCAGATTCTTGCAAACTAACACTTATGATATGATTCTGCTACTTAGGTTTCTCGTAATTTAAGTTTCATTAAGTTTATGTTATTAGTACGTTTATATCTAATCTAAGAAGCTAATGTGATGATGATAAGTCAGCTGCCGTGTTGCTCTTCGCCTTCCCTGGATGGGCATATTGTGCCACAACCTCTCCGCCGACTTCTTCTGTAACAATGGGGGCGCCGCCGGCGCCCACTTCTTCCCTAACCTCGACGCCGCGCTCCCTGACGACATCCGTCATCTGGTCGCGTTGCACGGCGCCGCGGCTCTCATTCAGTGCGGCGGCGGAATGCAATAAGGGAATTATAGCGGCCGCGCCAACCTCCTCAGTCGTCTCGCCCAGAACTCTGCTTTCTGCGGACTGCAAGGCAGCAGCATCTTTCATGGCTACCGGTTTGGACGCCAGCTCGCCGGAGACCGGAAGAATGTCGCCGTATTTTATAGGTTCCGGCTGTTCCTGCTGGCTCATCTTCAGATCAAGAAACTAATCGAAACCAAGGAAGAATATAATAAAAGGTGAAAGATTAAGGGTGAGATTGAGGTTGTAATGTTGTAGAACATGTATGTGTGTGTGTATATATATATATATATATATATATATATATATATATATATATATATATAGAAGACACGACAAGAAATGAAAGTGGTGAGTGCATGCATATATGATGGCTTGCATGCATCCTCACACGTGTCGGACAATTGTCAGGAAAATTTGTGGAAAATATAAAATGTGGCCAACTTGGAGGGTGTGGTTGAGTGAAAAGGACTCATTCGTCCTTAACCAAAGGTCAAGAGTTCAATCCTTGGCTTTGGGAATGAAATAGTCTTAAATCTCCAGGCCAGGTTGAAATCCTGGGTAATATATATCCAAATTATGCTTTTAAAATGGGACAATTAAAATATTCTATGTTCATAATTTTTGAACTCCATATTCACAATTATTTAAGTCCAATTTTGTTTCTTGAGTAAGAGTCGATGAACATTATACTAAACCAAAGACATTAGTCTAGTGGCAAGATGAGATTTGATTCTGGTCGGTTTTAGTTTGGATTAGACTCCTTTTATGCAGAGAAGTATAATTAGTTTAGTACTAAATCTTGAAGTTAGATTAGTTCATTGAGAAATGGGTACATCATTCCAAAATTAAGGAAATTGGGAAATTTAGATTATTTTAAAAAAAAATTATATGCCACAATAGGACAAATCAAATTATTGTATGGTTCGTAATAAAAAATAAATTTGTAATATACTAAAAATACATTACTCTCGTGTATTGAATGTATGTTATATAAAATAATATACTTTCAGTACTCAAATAATATATTTTTCCTGAATACAATATACATTATTAATATATTAAACGTATAATGAGTAAATACCAATTTTGGTCTACACAATTATATGAAATTATTAAGGATATTTTCGTCATTTTTAAATTAAAATTTCAATTTGAGCATGAATAAAGGGATTTAAGCCCTTAAGATCTATCTCAATTTGCAGTTTCCCTCTTCAAATTAAGGTAGGATAAGAAGGAGAACTACAAATTGAGATCGATCTTAGGACTTAAATCCCCTTTTTCATGCACAAATTGAAATATTAAGTTGAAAAGGACGAAAATAACCTTAAAATTTTTTGATTTCGGCATGTCTTAAATGGAGGGGTGATCGACGTGATAAATTTTTGTACTAAAATAATAATCGGTGGATGAAAATTGGTACTAAAACAATAAACGTTGATGAAAATTGGTAGGAATTAAAAATGTGAACCAAAATCGTCATTTTGCTAATACTCGTGAGATCAAAATTGATATTTACTCATTATTTGTTTACTAAATATACATTATTTGATAATATGATCCATACATCTGTGTAAATTATGGTCCACACAATAATGATTGATGAGACAAAAGGTAGTAACATTTACGTACGGCAACAAAATTGCCAGCACGCAAACATTTGCACAAACCCTTTGCGCCATCCTAAAGCCGCTGAAAGAAGACCTCAAGTCTTAACAAATATCCCATATTTCATTCAATTCCTTCAATAGGAAACAAATATTACCATATATCAACTATAATTTAACAGTTTAAGGCGTCTTTACTCTTTGTGTTTTATTAGGTTGAGAAAATATGTTTGAATTTATTTTATATTTTCACTTATATAATAATAATAATAAAGCGTCTAACTAAACTATTAGACAAGTCCCTATTTTTTAAGGAATGGCTATGTGCAAAATATTATAAAGTAATACATAAATTTAATTTAATTGATCGAACTCGTAAGTTTCAAGTACGAAAATTATGTTTCATTCACTCGATTATCCTTGTGAGATTGGGTTATAGAGTTTTAACTTATTGTGGTTTAATATGTATACATGCAAAATGATGTAGACTTGTATGTGTAAACAATTTGGTAATTTCAATCACATCAATAAAGGTTGCATTGATTATTTTCATGTATACCCACTAACTCTTACAAAATCTATAATATAAACTATAAAATATTTATATATACCAAGTGACTTGTAGTCCACTGGTATCCGATTGGCTCCTTATGTGGGATGTTTTAGATTTGAACCTTGGTGAAGGCATAGATAGTACATGTGAGTGTCCCCCCCTCCCTTTGTAATAAAAAAAAAATATTTATATATGTATTAAAAAAAAACATTATGAGTATATCCTAATGATTTTATTTTGTTGACAAGGAAAATTTACAATAATAGCTACTTCATTTTTTTGTAATAATTTTTAAATTACACAAAAAAATTGTTAACAATACTATAAAGACTTATGTAACGGACTCAATTAAAAAAGTGTTGATAAAAACAAGAATTATGTTTCACTTATTTCGGCATACTAATGAATTTTGTTGAGTGGGATTAGGTAATTGATTTAATGGTTTGGCCACATCATCAAGGATTCAATTATTGGTTCATTACACTTGTCTGATTTCTGAAGGAACTAGCTAGCTACCTTGTTTAGAAAACAGCCTCTAGCATAAAATATACGTGTACGAAATATTATATAGTGATACATATATAATAACGCATTTACGTACTGCTTTAGATATATTTTGTACTTAATATATATGGCAATTTTCTCCTTATTTATTCGAGTTTAGGATTTAATTCACAAGAAAATTAAGCTTTTTGTGAGAATGTGTAGACTGATCATTTGTTTATCTAAAATATTCAATGGTTATAAATTAAGGAAAAAACATGGTGGCATTTCTTTAATTATGATTTTGCGTTCGAAAATACTTGACAATGTGCATTTAGAAACTATTTTTCAAGTGCGCAATCATAATTACAAACTGTAAAAAATGACGCACTTTAAGAAGAAAAACAAATTAAAGCACCTTAAGAAAGAAAATAACGCGTCTAAAGCTGGAAAATCACGCACCTAAAGCTTTAGACCGACGCACCTTAAGAAGGAAAACCACGCAACTAAAGCTTTAAGTCGACGCACCAGCTTAAACACACAGACCACACACTTTAAGAAGGAAAACCATGCACCTAAAGATTTAAACTGACGCATCTTAAGTTTCAACAATTGACGCACCTTAAGCACACAACACATAAACCACGCACCTTAAATTTGACCTAAATGCAAAAAGACCAAACTGTCACCGTATTTTTTTAAATCTGTGTTCAATCTGGGCTGTTAATTTTGATTAGATCAAGAGCTGAGATTAAATTACATCTTTTACCTGAAGCCTATTACCACATTTGATCTCTATTATACATATATATATATATATATATATATATATATATATATATATATATATATATATATATAACTTTCACCATCAATAAAAACCATGAGATAGAAAAATTGTCTTCAAAATTGTAATCATCCAAAAGATTGATGTGGCCTCAATTTGGTGTTATCTGGGAACCGATTCAGCCTTACACTACAAAAATTTTGTTCTTTTTATGGTGGAAATTTGGTAGTGTGACGCTGAATGGGTTTCAAGAAAACACCAAAAATTCCCACCACAAAAAAAAAAAAAAAAAAAAAAAAAAAGCAACCTAACATTACATTGTGGTCCACTAATATCTTCCAAATTCCTTCTTAACATAACCATTCAGTGTAAGCAAGAGCTAATCCGGGCGTATGATTTTGGCTTTACCACCTAACAAGGGATCAAATGTCAATTTATGTGGGTCACATGTTATATGTATATTGGTTACGACAAAATTACACTCACTATTTGATGGTGTGTATTGGATAAATTCAATTTCTGTATAATATGAGCAAATCACAAAGGATAATTAAGTAAGTTGTACTAGAAAGACGTTGTGTGATTGACTTGACCGAAAAAATGTTAGCAGACATCGAATTTGTGACGTTTTAATATAAGAGTAATGTTTCACTAACTTAGACGCCTGCTCTGGAACTACATACAGAGACTAGACCTTTGCTTACTGCGCACAAAGAGCGCTCCTTACTTTGAGAGAGTGTTTCCACACTGCCGCTGGAGAGATTCGATCCCTGGTCATTCTTTTCAAACTTCACCTTTATGACCAGTTGAGCTGCCCATGTAGGCTACCTATTACTTTCATAATCGACAAAGTGGGGGAATGTGGGATCCAAACATCCTTACAACGGACGTACCCATGGGTACGGAGATTCACATATGGGCAGTTATCATGCAACTTGACGGTGTTTGACTACCGGCAAAAACTAACGGGGACCTAACGTCCGTCACGGCCTGGAACATCGGGCTTATGACTAATCCTTTATCCTTAATTCGGTTTTATAGTTTGATACCTTAATAATCGGCCGTTGGAAAAGGTAGTTAAAGACAAAAAGTAGTTATTGTCATGATTGTACACTACCTTTGTATCCAAGGAAACCCTACAAATCAGCCAATTGTATCTCATCTTCATTAAAATTAGATAATATATATGAATATTCCATAGTTTGATTTAATAAATCCATTAGAGATATTAATTTTATTTTTGTTAGATTCCGTATTGTTCCGTTATGACAAAAATAAATTAATTGATATGGTATGAATTATAAATATTTATTGCTAAAGATCAAATTCTGATTATATGAATCAACATATCTAAATAAAGTTAAAAATTATTCAAAAAAAAAAAAAGAAGCTAAAATTTAACTTGTGGAAAATCTATATTTGAGAATAAACCCAACCATTTGAAGTAGTTTGTAAGCATATTTGAGATCACCATTTGAAGTAGTTTGTAAGCATATTTGAGACCATATGTGTTGGTTTTATGATTAACGGATAGTCAATGATTGACCAACACAACTGCTTGAAAATGAAGTAAACGAACGTAAACGACAGACCACTCTCAGGTCGATCGCCCAACTGCTAGTATTGCCCCAACAATATGATTGACTTGTATATATGTACTATGTTAAAGAACTCTGAGTCAAGTATTTTTTACCTAAATATCAATTTAAAAATTGAGTTAGGTATTCTTTGAGTCCTACTCTACAAGCTCAACTCCGAAACAAATTTAATTAATTTCACATTAATGACAAAAAAAAAAACAAATTCAAAAGTTTTAAGTAATAGAAATATTTCATAAAGTTGAAGTATTATAAAAAGTTTAAAAAATGACTAAAAAGTAGTTAAAGAGGAATCCAGGTCTAATAACGTTGGTTAGACGTATAAGAATAAACTTCCTGTTCCCCAAATGGGGGGATAGACGTTAACGGCGTTTGCTCCTCCGGAATTTATGACGAGAAAGGCGTTAACGGCGTTTATTTCTCCGTAATTTGGGAAATCCAGGTGGCGATTTTCCATTGGGTAACCCTTCCAGCGGAATATTCCTTCATAAATTCCAAACTCTTCACTCTACAAAACCACTAAACTGCCGTAACAGACGAGAAAAGTACAGAGACGAAAGAGCCCAAAAATAGAGCGTTATGAGCGAGGCGTTGAACCGGAACTACCGAGTCTGCGAGGAGATCGGACGGGGGCGATTCGGCGTCGTTTTCAGGTGCTATTCGCCGGAATCCGGTGACTCCTTCGCAGTCAAGTCCATCGACAAGCGTCTAATCGCCGACGACTCCGTCGACAGACAATGCCTCTTCAACGAGGCGAAGATCATGCAGCTGCTCTCCCCTAGCCCCTACGTCCTCCGCATCTTCGATGTCTTCGAGGACGACGATCACCTCCATCTCGTCATCGAGCTCTGTCGCTCCTCCGATCTCTTCGAGCGTCTCTCCGCTCGCCAGGTCTTCTCCGAGGCTGAAGCCCTTGCTGTTATGGTACACTCTGCTTTCCAGATCGTTGAATTTTTTACGGTTTTCGTCGCGATCGGAGCTGCATTATGTATAGTTTCACACTCTTCGGTTTTCTGAATTACTGTATTCATCAAATGCGGAATAGTTTCTCGTAATTTTGATTTCCATTTGCGGAAATTTGGTTATGTTTTGGCCGAATTTCATCTGAAATCCTGAATTTATATGCTCTTTTGGTCCAAACTGCTTATTAGGTACCATTGATGGAAGCGATTGCGCACTGTCACCGGCTCGGCGTGGCTCACAGGGACATCAAGCCGGACAACGTTCTGTTCAACGAGTGGGATGAGCTGAAACTAGCCGACTTCGGCTCGGCTGAGTGCTTCCGCGAGAACGAGCTGATGAGCGGAGTGGTAGGGACGCCATACTACGTCGCGCCGGAGGTGTTAGCCGGCAGGGACTACTCGGAGAAGGTGGACGTGTGGAGCGCCGGCGTCATTCTGTACATAATGCTGGCCGGAGTCCCGCCTTTTTACGGGGACTCAGCGCAGGAAATCTTCGAGGCCGTACTCAGAGCCAATCTCAGGTTTCCGACGAGGTTTTTCAACTCTGTATCGCCGGCGGCTAAGGATCTGCTCCGGCGAATGCTCTGTAAAGACGTCTCTAGAAGATTCTCGGCTGAGCAAGTGCTGAGTAAGTACATCTACAATTTACATTTTACTTTGACTCCGCATATTACTTCTTCTAGTACTTTCTAATATGTAGTATTGTATTGACTTTGAATTGTTGAAAACTTGAAACTCTAATATACAATCACCAGTGAAACTCTTCAATCTGGAATTTAACACATCTTAAGAGTACATTACACTATTTTCCTTCTGGGAATTAGTCACAGATTGAAGTTATGACTTATGAGAGTGAAATAATCCAAAAATCTTCACATAATTAAGCTACTCAACCAACTTGGGTATTGAATTCTTGAAGTGATGACGATGTACAGGGCATCCATGGATGACAAGCAACGGAGACAGGGCTGTGACTTTTCTAAACTAGAACACTGTTACAAAACTATGTGAAAATCTACCGTGTTAATTGACAGTGGTGCTAAGAAGTTACCACAACATATATAAAACAAATCTATGTATATAGCTACCCTAGTATTGTCCATATATGACCTACCCGCCGCCGTAGTGGCCAATGGCCGGTTTGTGTGTCCGGCCATGTGCAGGGAGCTTTCAAGAAAGCATGGCAGAAGGGAAGAGAACAGAGGTTATGAGCCGCCGCCGTAGTGGCCAATGGCCGGTTTTTGGAAGCTTTTGTTGAGTCACAGGCTGGGAGTGCAGTGCATTAATCACCCAATGCTTTAAATTATTGGGGATTTCAATGCAAATTTTCTTCTGTTATGTGCCACTTTTGCTTTTGTTTTGGTTTGGAATGAAATGTGAGACTGAGACGGATGTGTTTTGGCTTTCTGAGGCATATGTTAATGAAGTTTCCACTCAAACTTTGCAGCTCTCTTCCCCCGAACTCCTCTTTGGGTTCTCCTTGAAAACACAAATATTCCATATGAAATCGTAGAAAACAGTTGCTTTGCAGTTCGGAATTAAGACTAGACTAGATTAGTCTCATTCCATCAAGTGTGGATATATTATAGTATCCAATCAAATTAAGACTTAGGTTACACATTGTTGATTTTATGACCTAGGCTGTCGACACACAGTTGGTTGAAAACAGAGTATAAAAGATGGAAAGGAACTTTGAAAAAATAGGCAGTGTTGCAAAAATACTGCCTAGGCACCGATTAATCGGCGTCTAGACGTTGGCCAGCCGCCTAGCATATAATCATAATCGGTGGTCTAAGCGGTTGGCTGGCTAGGCAGCCGCCTTAACTGGGCTGCCTATTCTTTCTTTTTTAAATGAGTTATTTCATTCACAACCATATCGTTTTGAGCGAAATAAATACTTTATAATTATCAAGGCTAAAATTTTTTAAAAAATTTTAACAAATTTTTAAAAAATAAAAAATAATGAGAGTCTAAGTGCTGATTAATTGCCAATCTAGGCGCTCCCGAGCGCCTATATTTTTTTAACCATGAAAATAGGATACCACTATTATTGCTTTGAGAAAAGGAAGATTGTCCTCCTTATTTATACATTTCAAATTACCAATTAAGGATTTGAGTATGGAAAGTAAATCCCTCATATCAAGGGTAATAATTACAATGGTGATATTTTAAAATACCATAGTAATAAGAAAAATGATTTCGGACAAGTTCTTTCAGATGTACTTCCCATGAATAACTTCTAGAATAAAATAAGTGTCTATCAAGTTTTACTCCATATTGAATTTAGATCGACTACTTTAATTGAGTTCAATTAAATAGATCGAAATCGAATATGAAACCATCTATATCTAATCCATCACACATTTATCTAGTAGGACTGAGGCGTATTATACTATGGACCATGGATAAATGTTCATATTTTATCTACTAAAGGTTGATGGTATAATGATTGTAGGACCGGAGAGTCGATTCCTACACTGTTCCAAGAAGTATCTCAAAAGAGAAATACTACATAGACTCTCATTTCTTACTCCTAACTTCTACACCCCCTCACAAATTCTTGATGTATACTTTTTCTGTGATCCACATGATGAAAATATGAGTAGAATTTGGGAATACATGTAGTAGAAGTAATCCCAAAATTTGGTTTGTATATAAGGCCGAACTAGAGGCAATAAACAAAGGTGGTGTTGGCCTATCAAATATGCAAGCACCCAAACGTCTTAAATTCGACAATTGGTGTTACAAATTGGACTCAAACAAGTGCCATTTTGTCAAAGTGGAGTAGCCCAAATTTAGTTGTATATTATTGAGAATCTCTCCTTTTCAATACACCAACTTAATTTCTGAAGAAAAAAAAAATCCAAAAACATGACTACAAAATTAAATTGAATCAACTCTTCCAAGCATAACTTAACTAATCAATTGATCTAAAGAAATTTAATAGTTCTCTTTTGCTAAAAATGGTTCCGGGTAGGTTAAACCGGAACGGTTCGAATTTCATGGCCTCCCTGAGTTCTCATCTCTGTTTCAACACTTCCTTCTTCTCCTTCATTCTCCCTCGACATCTCTTCCAGCGATTTCCCTTTGGATTCCGGCACCAGCAACGTAAACACCATCCCCAAGAAGTTAATGCAGCCCAGAACGAGGAGAGAGTTCCGTACGCCGATCCCCGGCGGGTATCCGGCGTCCGTCTTCGCCGGATCCGTGTTCTGCGCAGCGTACAAGAACCCGAACGCTCCGACGATGGCCCCGGCCTTCCCCGCCGCCGCGGACATCCCGTGGCACGTAGACCGCAACCTCGCCGGGAAAATCTCCGCCGGGACGACGAAAGTCGTGGCGTTCGGGCCGAAGTTGGCGAAGAAGAACGTCAGGGAGTACATTTTCACGAACCCTATCCTGTTCTCTTTATGCGTCCAGTGATCGTAAGGAATGGCTAGAGCGAACATGAACACTGTCATGAAGAAGAATCCCATTAGTTGGATGGCGAATCGTCCGGTTTTGTCGATTAGCGCCACCGTGAACCAGTACCCCGGCACGGTGCTGCAAACGGCGATCAGCGTTTGGGCTCTGGCGATCCTGAAAACTTCTTCAACGGCGTTCATCGTCTCCGGATTGGGAATCCATCCGATTGCTCTGAATATATCTTTCTGGAAAAGCTGTTGGCTGTAGAAAGCGATGTCTAGCAAGAACCACGTGCTCGTTGTTCCCAGTAAATGGAGCCCGTGACGCCGGAGAAATTCCCCGGAAAATAACCCGAAATCGTTGCCGGATACTTGTGAAATCTTCTCGGCTTTCTCTCCATCTGCTACGATTTCCACCTGCATAAATTAGTGCAACTCTAAGTAAATTGGTCAAACTTTTTATAGTAATCACTCTTACAAATTTGATTTTCAAAATATGGGACTTATTGTCATTATTCCTCAACCCAAGGACCCACACTCGGACTCGGACCTGAATATTTAAGGAGAATGTAAATTATAGTGATTCAATAGTTTAATCGGTTCAGCATTCAGAACCAAATACTGGTGCGTACAAGGGATCTGTCCACTTTAGACATAATCTTCACATTGTCGTGACCAGATCTGAATATTGGTCTGTTTTCCAAATACACCTACTGAACTATTGAGTTAAGCTCGTGCGGTCAATTTATTGTCATTCTTGATTTGAGTAGATAAGGTTTACCCAATTGATCGAATTATTGATTTGGTAACACAGAGTTACAATTCGATTCTTGGGGAAAGTGTCCTATTCACTATTTTGACTTAAGCCGACACATTTCACCTGATTGATCGAGCTTGACTTGGTAACATAAGGTTACTTCAACTCCTAATGGCAACGGCATATTGACCTTTTTGGTTTAAGCTAGTGTAGTTTACCTGGTTGGTTACTTTATTGATTCAGTAATCATTACAAGTTCAACTCTAGCGAAAAGAGTTTATTAACTTTCTTAGTTTGAATTGACACAGAGTGAGTTTGTCTTGCTACTAAAAAAAGAAAAATATAGAGAAATAAATTTTAAAATATAACCTGCAGAACTTTGGACATGTCGGAAGCCGCCTGTTTGGCGTTCTTGGCCACTAAGGCCGTGTAACGGGCGGTTTCCGGCATCTTCATCCGCCAGTAATACGTCAGCGCGGCGGGGAACGCGCCAAACATGAGAATTATCCGCCAGATATAATCGGCCTCCGGGACGGTGGAAGCTAAACCGTTTTCCTGATAGGTCGGTGCCGGAAACGCCGCCTTGAACGCCGCCGAGACGACGATCGCCACCACTCCGCCGGCGAGGATCCCGAACCCCTGCATCGCGAACACGGCGGCGATGAACGCTCCCCTCGTCTTCTTGTTCGCGTACTCCGACATTATCGTCGCCGACAGCGGGTAGTCGCCGCCGATCCCGAACCCCAGCCAGAACCGGAAAAAGCAAAGAGTCGCCATAACTCCTTTCGAGCTATGCCCGAACGACAGCCCGGAAGCGATGGAGCAAATCACCATTAGCATAAGCGTCAAGCCGTAAACTTTCTTCCGCCCCATTTTATCCCCCAGCCACCCGAAAAACAGCTGCCCCGCCAGCGTGCCGCAGAGGGCGACGCCGTTGACGGCGGCGGAAACCTTGGGCGGCAAACTGCCGGGTTTCGGTGCGCCGTCGACGTGGTAGTAAATCCGGCCGAGCAATTTGGTGACCAGAGAAATGCAGAAAAGGTCGTATGCGTCGGTGAAGAACCCCATTCCGGCAATCACAATTGCAGTGAAATGGTACCATTGTGTTCTGGCAACATCAAGTGCGTCCAGAACTCTCAGTTGATCTCCGGCCATGGCTGCCACTCCTCAAAACTCCGGCAACAAAAGGAGAAACTAACAAGTAACAATACCTTCAAGAAGACAAGAACCTTAAATATTAATGTTAAAACAAGAAAATATATATGGATCTCCAAGGACACAGCAAAGGGTTACAACAAGTTTCAATTTTGATTTATCATTTATTAGTCTTTTGGTATGAGACGTTCAACTATAGGCAACATAAGCTGGTTAATATCATAGCCGTCCTTTGCTTAATATTGCAAGGTGGGATTTGTTCAGTGTATACTCAGGGATAGTGGGTCGTCATTCAAAAAGGAACAATCCAACTGAGTTGATTTGACAAATGATCGACTTGGTAAACACAATATTTCAAGTTTTGATTCATTACGTGAGATGTTTAGTAATCTTCTTGATTTGAACAGATTAACTAAGCTGATTTACTTCATTCTTTATAGTATTTTGTCTGATCTGACTAAAGTTACAAGGCTAATTTCAATAGCCACTACTAACTTTTTCGTAAATTTAAGGAAAGGGTTAAGAAAATGGCTTTTCAAAACAAATGGTGAAAATAAATTTAAATAAAGAAAAAGAAAAACAGAGGCATGTGAAACAACAAAAGTGGGGTTTAAACGACAACAATGGTACTTTTCATTGTTCCCAATTGGTACAATGGTAGTTTTCATGAATAGATAGGACGCTGGAAAAACAAAAAGAGAGATGAAGGAAGGTTTTATCGATTTCACAGAAACAAAACCGCATGTAACATCATGGGTCTTCCATGTTCAAATCCTCTATATATATCTCAAATACATACACTACAATATAATACACTGTCATCCATTCAGACTTTATGGGTCCAGAATTTGCTTCAGAATAAACATGCATGCTGACCAAAACAAGGACAAACTATAAAATATATTTTAAAATTCAAAATAATTAAGAACATACCATGATATATATAATCAATAAGTCAAAATTAAATAAATCCGTTTAATTTGGACTGGACCAGTAGTGTCACGGGTGAGAATTTATTTGCGTTGGAAGGTAGCTCAGCTTGCTTGCATATATTAACTTTAGGGAGATATCATGGCAGTAGAGAATTTATTTGCTTTCATTTCCAACTTTTATTCTATTTCTCTGATTTCCATCATATATATTTACTATTTTATGTTCAAATCAATTTTTTTAACCTCAATTTATTGTGTTCAATATAAAATTGTAATTTAATTTTGAAAAAAAAAAAAACAACAAATATATAGGCAAGTGAACTAAAAATCAAAGTCCAATTAAGTAATGAACCAAAAAAGAGTTCAAACTTTAAATAGGTCATTGAACCAGAAAGCAAATCTCAATTGAGCCACTGACCTTTAAAAAAAAAGTTCAATTATCACACTAAACATTCAAAAGTCATTCATTTTTCTTCATATATAACCAGTTGTTCCAAGTTAATGGAGGCTAATTTTGAGCAGTTGATGAGATTTTATGCCAACAGCAATCAATAAAATAAATAAAATATTTTCACATCATATGTCAACAACTTTTATATATTTAACCTTCATGAACTTGAAACAACCGATTATATGACAAAAAAAAAAAAATTGAACTTTTTTTTAGTTCAGTGACTGAATTGGACTTTAGTCTTCGGTTTAATAGCCTATTTGAACTCCTTTTTTGGTTCAGTGGTTTAATTGGATTTTGGTCTCTAGTTCAGTAATCTATTTAGCCCATTTTTCTTTAATTTTTAAATATTTTTTTTACTAATATTAAATTAAATAATATTAAAAAAATAATAATACTCCGTAGTAAATAACTTAAGTCAACTATACTTGTTGTCTTGTTTATTTGTTTATTGACATTCAAAGCAGTACATCATACAAACACTTTCAAATTAATCACAAAAACTTCCATACAACACATTTTTTTTCAAAAACAATATTTAAGCATCCGGCGCCGTCCGGTGAGCAGAACCGCCAGCCCGCGGCGGCGCCGGAGTATCCTCCTGGTTCTCGCCGGACAACTCCTCAAGCGATTTCCCCTTCGGCTCCGGCACCAAGAAAGTACACAACAACCCCAGCGCGTTAATACAACCCAAAACGATGAGAGCATTTTTTATTCCGATCCCCGGCGGGTATCCGGCGTCGGTCTTCGTCTTGTCCTTCGGCTGCGCCGCGTACAAGAACCCGTAGGCTCCGACGATCGCCCCGGCCTTCCCGGCCGCCGCGGATATCCCGTGGCACGTCGACCTCAGCCTCGCCGGAAAGATCTCCGCCGGGACGACGAACGTGGTGGCGTTGGGCCCGAAATTGGCGAAGAAAAACGTGAAAGAGTACATGACGACGAAGCCGATTTTGCTGTGATCTCTCCAGTAGTAATACGGGAATGCCAGGCCGAACATGAACGCCGTCATGAAGAAAAATCCCATCAGTTGGATCCAAAACCGACCCATAACGTCGATCAGAAAAACGGTGAACCAATATCCCGGCACTGTACTAAACAAGGCGATCAACGTCTGGGCTTTCGCCACCCGGAAAACTTCATAAACTGCGTTCATTTCCTTCGCCGGCGGGATCCATTCTATTGAACTAAACACGTCTTTCTGGAAAAGGTTTTGGCTGTAAAATGCAATATTCAAGTGTTTAATTACACATTTTAAAAGTTTCAGGGCTTAATTACTATTTGAGTTCAATTACATGTACTCATAAATCTTACTCCCTTAATTTTAGTCCATGATGTGGCAGGCTTTGATAAGCTAATTTTTTTCTTCCAATACAAGTATCTACAAATTTTGTGGTTGTCTGCTCTGTTTGGCAAAGCTTATTTAGGAGCTTATAGCTTATTTTAAGCTACTAATAAGCTATATAAGTTTTGTTTGATAATGTTCTCAAAATAAGCTCCTAGCTTAAAGTAAGAGCTTATTTTAGAACGATACCTTATACCTCTTTAGTTTTCAGTTCCAAACTTATAGCTTTTTAACTTTCAACTCCTTTTTCAGCTTTCAGTTCTTAACTTATAGCTTTTCAGCTAGGTTTGCCAAACAGAATCATAATATTTTTCTTACTATTTTGTGTAAAAATTATTTTTAAGAATATAAATATGATGCTTGTAACCTGTAAAACGCGATATCGAGGAGAAACCACGTGGACGTTGTACCGAGCAAATGGAGGCCATGGCGGCGGGCGAATTCCATGGAGAATAATCCGTAAGAGTTGGAAGAACTTTCTACAATCTTCACAACTTTCTCCTCTTCCGCCTCCAACTCCACGTTCAACACGCCGGCCATATCTTGCGCCGCCTGCTTGGCGTTTTTCGCGACCAGGGCGGTGTACCGGGCGGTTTCCGGCATCTTCATGCGCCAGTAGTAGGTGAGGCCGGCGGGGAAGGCGCCGAACATGAGGACTATACGCCAGACGTAGTCGGCCTGCGGGACGGTGGAGGCGGCGGGGTTGACTTCGTACGGCGGCGCGTCGAACGCGTGGTCGAAGGCGACGGAGACGATCAGAGCGACAATGCCGCTGACCAAGATCCCGAAGCCCTGCATGGCGAAAACCGCGGCGATGAACGCCCCTCTGGTTTTTTTATTAGCGTACTCCGACATGATCGTGGCGGAGAGAGGGTAGTCGCCGCCGATGCCGAAGCCCAGCCAAAACCTAAAGAAACAAAGAGTCGCCATTACGCCTTTCGGAGTGTTCCCAAACGAAAACCCCGACGCCAGAGAACAAACCACCATGAGAACTAGGGTTACGCCGTAGACTCTTTTCCGGCCCATCTTGTCCCCGAGCCACCCGAAGAAGAGCTGCCCGGCTAGGGTTCCGACGAGAGCCACGCCGGTGACGGAGGACGCCACCACCGGCGGGAGCGTCCCGGGCTTCAGAGCGCCCGGTTTCGTGTAGTATATGCGGCCGAGAAGGCGGGTAACCAGAGAAATGCTGAAAAGATCGTAGGCGTCGGTGAAGAAGCCCATTCCGGCGATGACGATCGCCGTGAAATGGTAGAGTTGAGTTTTGGCGACATCAAGTGCATTAAGCACTTGAAGTTGTTCTCCTGCCATATCCTACTTTCTTGATTCCTTGATCTCCCCCTGCATTTTACTCAATCCAATTAACATATATATATATATATATATATATATATATATATATATATATATATATATATATATATATATATATGAATTCAAAAGCATATACATATACAAATTTAGCTCAGCTCGAGTTCGATCAAGCTCTAATTTGTGATAAAACACACCTTGCCACTTAATCTAGTCATCTTTTATTAATTTTTATCTATTTTATTATATTTATACTAAAACTTGTACTATACATATATATATATATATATATATATATATATATATATATATATATATATGGGGTGAGAGTGGGGTGAGTGGGAGCAGCTGTCCCCATGCTGGATCCGCCCCTGTTTGCAAGTTGCTGAAAGCAAGTATTAAGATATTTGAATCTGACTCGGACTTTAGCTACTAGTGCTCAAGTTCGACTGATTCATTACTTTAACTACTAGAGCTCAAGCTCGACTCCACAATAATGCAATCAAGCCCGAATAACTTGACTGAGTTACACCTCTACGTACATGTTGCGTGTTGACAACTTGGAAAGAGAAGAAGAGAGGAGAAGGATATATGCATTGAATTGAATTGAAGGTGATGAGTATATATAGGGCATGCAAGTTATTTGTCTCCGATCCGTTGACATGCATCCTATCCAGTTGCAGGAATCTTCTCCGGCATAATTCCGGCATATACCTATATATTGTTATTTAAACAACTTCAAGTTTTTACACAATCTTTTGCTCGATCACCTCCTTCCCCAATGTCAACTTATTCTACGTACTTTCATGTACACCAAAAATGTCAACTCCTAGCTTGCACCAACTAACCATGTATTTTAAATTCACATATATATATATATTATTGCCAAAATGGGATAATAAATCATTAAGTTATTGTTGTGTACATCTTTTGTTAATCGTCCATCATTTCTTTTACCCCATCCATCAAATAATCAAATAATCATATAGTAACACCAGACTCATCACAGCTCTCAACTAGTGAACTAACTCAAAATAAGTTTATAAGTTTTGTTTTGCTAGCAACCGTAGACTGCAGGGGAAAATGAGGCATTGATTTGACCTTATTGTATGCATCAGCATACAAGCATAAAGCATTTAGGGACCTGTAGGTTGTTTGATACATATTCAACAGTTTACTTTATCCACCAGTCTCCAGAACAAAAGCACTAAAGATTGATATATTCCATCATCGATGTCAATTGGCACTATTCAACACATGCATGTATTTTTTATTTTATTTTTTTTGCTTGAATTATTACTATTGCACAAGCTAATTAAGGATATATAATTTGTTGTTGCAATAATCAACAAGTGGGACATGATTACATTAATTTAAGATTAATTTAGAATAATGAAGTTGCAATGTTGCATCATACACGCCAAACTAGTGTCACCCTACTCTTTATATTATTTGAAAGTCAGATAAGAGATTTTTTAATCTTTACATTAAGGTTTAAATCAAATACTACATGCAAGATATTTTTCCCCAAATTAGATTAAATTTATCACCTTCTGGCTGTTTTTGGTAAACTTAATTGGTGAGGAGGGGAGGGATTCAACATTTTCTGACTTGTCAAATTACCTCATCAGATTCTGGAAATATCGATCTCCAATCCGGTCCAAAATGATTTTATTTATTTGTGTATTGTATTAGTTGGAGCATGGGTGATCCATGCTAAAAATTCACGATTTTCGGCTATTAAAAATACTGTGTTCTTTCAATTTTCTAATAATAATAATAATAATAATAATAATAATAATAATAATAATAATAATAATAATAATAATAATAATTTATATTAAAATATTTTTTTTTAAAAATCTTTTTAAAAAGCTTGGTTGGCGATGCCATGACAGTTGGCTGCCAAACTTTTTTTAAAAATATTTTAATTTTTATAATAATAATAATAATAATAATAATAATAATAATAATAATAATAATAATAATAATAATTTATTATTATTATTATTATAGTAAAATTTAAAGTTTCACCACAAGCTTTTTAGAAAAAATTCAAAGTATTTAATTTTTAATAAATTATTATTATTATTATTATGTGAATTGAGCATCAAAGTCATCAAAATGATGTAGCATTCCAATTATCTTTAACTTGGGAATTACTTGCAATAACAGGTTAAAATTATACTTTTTTCTATGTTCAAGTGTTTAATTAAAAATTTTTCTAGTTCGAGTATTTAATTATACTTTCATAAATAGTTCAATGACTTTTTGACATTTATCCTAAAGTAAATAAAATGTAACTGAGGATAATGTTTTACTCCGCGGTACATATGGTGCAATCGTGCTAAGCAGTACTTAGTTAATATCGTAAATTATTGCAATCTATTAAGTCAATGCTCTAAGGTCAATATATGTAATTATTCTATCCATCTAATTTTACAGATTAGTTCAGATGATGATGATGTCAAACCAAATTATTAATAATATAATGTTTAAAATATTATTTATTTAGTATTAATCAATAAATTTTACATTAAAAATCTTGTTACTAACAAAAAATAAAGAGAAAAAGGGTCAAATACTCCCTCAAACTTTAGCTTAAAAGTGAATTAGCCCCTAAACTTTTTAAATATGCAATTCCACCCATCGACAATTCATTTAGGACATGTTAATGACCTGCTATCATATGTCACTAGGGTAAGTGACCAGCGACCGACCAACAAAATTTTCGACAAAAAAGTGACGGAAAAGCCTATATTGAACTATAGTATACGAGAAGCCTAACCTCGTAGTAGAGCAGAAGAGCAGCCGTGTTGAAAGTAACAATTATTAAAGAATTAGACACAAAAAGAGCGGCTAATGTTCCAGTGAAACAACATCTTCACGTGAGACTCAACATGAATGCACAAACACTAGATTGTGCACTCATGTTAGACAAATTGCACACACTCTAGTCTGTGTGCATTCCTGTAGTAGACTGTGCATTCATGTTATGTCTCACAATCTCACGGGAAGATATTCTTTCATTGAGTATTTATCCGAAAAGAGCAACTTAAATAAAAGCACCAAAAGACATTGTTCTCAATATTGTCACCAATTATTAGAGAGTGACACAATTGCTAACCTAAATTGTTCCACAGTAACAGATTACAGCAAATAAGTCCTCTGCTTTTTCAAGTTAAAAAGGGTCAGTGAAACCAGTTTTAAACTCATAACCACCACAACTGGCTAATATTTTTACAGACAAGTAAAACAAAAAAGGGGGAAAAAAAAATAATTATTACAGCCTTCCTGATTTCACTCCAGGAGAGACATTCATTCTCATTGTCCATTTGTCCCATATGTTCACTCCCCGGGATCCACTCGCGCTTCCGTTCACTATGTTCATCCTATCTTACCAAGAAGCGACTGCAAACAAAGAAACCGTGGTGTCAAGATAAACACACAAAGAGCACACACAAAGTCGGAAGAAAAGACTACCTTTGCTTTCGATGCAGGGGTTCCCGGTTTAGCGGTTGTTGTGCTACCGAATCCAAACTTCGGCTTCTTCTCTGCGGGCTTTAATATTTGAAAAGAGCACATCAACGTCTCGTCAACGCTCATCATGGCGCCAGCATTGTCAAACTCCCCGCAATAATTAGGAGCCGAGAATATCGTCACGAGTTGTCTGTCTGCAAAAAACTCGTATCCATCTTCAACGACCTGCAGTAACACACAAAGACCAATAAGATTGGCGATTGAACTCCTTAAATAAAGTTTTTTTTTGGTTAGACCCAAGGTTGAAAAAATCGCTACCCTCTAGGCGCTTGGGACCGCCTAGAGCGCCTAGGCCCGATTTTTGCAACACTGATTAGACCATGAGATGTCCTGAGCTGACCCTAACTGTAGGAGACACCTTTAAGCCCGTACCATACTCAGATTAATCCTCATTCGCAACGGGCCGGCCCCCAATTTAGGGGCGAAGTGCTAGCCAGATTGGGTTTTCCATACGAGAGGGGGTTTGAACTCCCGACCTCTCTTAAGGGACGAGAGTGCACGGCCACTCACGCCCCAACCAAGTTGGTTACTCCTTAATTAAAGTTAAACAAACACGTAACATGTGCAGACCTGATGAGCACGGCAAATAAGATCGAGATCTTGTTTCTCGAGAAACTCGGTCACTCTATCAGCCCCGAAAGTGTAGGAGACTCCCCTATCGTTCATCCCCCACCCTTTTACATCCTTACTAGGATCAGACCACAATAGATCACAAAGCAAACCAGTTTCTGGAACATCTGTAGGTCGTTGTAGGCTTCTTATCTGATCCAAATCATGCAAATCGGGAGAAAGTCCCCCGTGCATGCACAATATCTTTTCATCGACCAGAGCTGCCACAGGCAGGCAGTTAAAACAATCTGTGAATACTTTCCATAACCGAACATTGAACCTCCGTTTGCACTCATCGTAAAATCCATATATACGATTAACAGAAGCACATTCATGGTTGCCCCTCAGAAGGAAAAAGTTTTCAGGATACTTAATCTTATAAGCAAGCAGAAGGCATATTGTTTCTAGACTTTGCTTCCCACGATCCACATAATCGCCCAAGAACAAGTAGTTAGATTTCGGAGGTAAACCGCCATATTCAAAGAGCCTGAGTAGATCAGAATACTGACCATGAATATCCCCTGCAAAAAAACGAAAAGTTAAATACTTGATTATTTAGCATGAAAACTTGTCTTTCATGTCTTTTCCCAGCACAGTGGGTGAAGATTGATTATTCTTAAAATCTCTTCCTAAAAGTATGCCTCGTAAACTGTCTAATTTATCATTGAACAATAGCTCCATAACTTAGAAAGTTAACAGCTTTTATAAACATTGCAAAATCAAGGCATTAAAGTAAACCTCAATCATACTAAGCATGAATGAAGGCTTCTTTTGACAATCACAATTAACTATTGTTAGACCATTTTTACGATTATTCTTATTCATCAAGTATATGTTACTATGTTGATGCCTTCCAGCTCTTTTTTCCTTCATAATAAAGCTAAAATTTGACTATCAAACATAATCTCAGAACTTAGTGCATTCTTAGGGAAGAGTTAGTCCACAATCATGTTTAATACAAACAACACAAATAGCTTCAATAATTTCACATATGATAATAATAGCTTCAAAGAAGCACCTACCCAGTCAAGCTTAGCATCAATTAATAATAACAATAATAAATTTTTTTTTAAAAAAAAAGGGTAAAAAACTGTTTTCAATTGAAGCATCAGAGAACAGAAACAGCAGCATCAAACAAAATCCAGCTCCAAAAAATTCAATTTTCAATTCAAACCCACATCAGAAAGCTAATTTCCTAACAACCCACAGAATTTCCAAAGGAAAGGAGAAAAAAAAAGGGGGAAATTTAAGAATCTCTACCGCAGATCTTGATGGGTGCCTCAAGTTCAAGAAGATTAGGCTGGTGCAAGAAAATCTCCTTGGACTGCATACACAGCTGCCTGATCTCCGACTCGGAGAGCTGCACTTGCTTCCCGGGTCTCCCCCTAACCTCCAACAACCTCTTGATTATATCATCCAGAGCCACGGAATCCATAAAATCCCTCCTGTATCTGTGTATGTTTAGAGATTATGAGCTGGTGGGTGTGGGTGTATAGATCAAGATTGAGGAAGGGGAATAACAGCGCGCAGAAGAAAGAGGGAATAAAGTGGAGTGGAGCGGCGGATTAGCATCTCAGGGGAGTGAAAGACTTTAACTTTTTTCAAGGGCGTTTAGATGGAAAGCTTTGGGTTTGTGAAAATGGCTTTTTTTTGGGTGATAGATGAGAACATTCGAGTCTATCGGTCCTGAGGGCAGCAGCGGCTGAGCTGAGAAATGAGACTATGAGAGAGAGAGAGAGAGAGAGAGAGAGAGGGGGAGAGAGGTATGGTTAAAGACTCTCAGAGGGAGTGGAGTCAACACTGTGTTGTCGTCTTTCCTTTTGCCTTTACTTTCTATTGGATGAAAATTTGCTTTGAATCCTCAAAGTTTTAACCTAATCACGATGTTGCCCCAATTATTTTCTAATGTCAAATTGATCATCTAATTCTACATGCTCAATCCCGACCAAATTTGAACTAGTCTAGTTGTAAAAATATCAAATGTTATACACACAAAAAATAATAATAAAAAAAATAAATCGCCTATTTATTTAGAAAGGTTTTCATATTGATACAAATATAACGAGATAAAATCAGTATTGTAGAATCTGCTAGGTACTCATTCGACGCATAGGACATAAAGAAACAAATATTTATTTATTTATAGCTTTATACTATTGATTAATAGCCACAATTCAATTCTCAAATATGGAAATTGTCATAAAGTCCACAACTCATACACTCATTACAAAGTTCAAAACCCTAACCCCTCTTACTCAAAAATCACAATAAAAATAAAAATTGAAAAGAAAATTTGATTATCTGATTGATGAGTGAGGACGAGAAGATAAAGGTGACGAATTGACATCAACGAGCTGAGTTGAGTGGGGCAAAGGGCAAGAGACTGAAACTCCGATATGATGGCTGATTGGCTACAAGTGAATAGGCGATGGCATCTTGACTTTCTTGGTGGTGATCGATTGATTGGGATATCATGTGTGTTGAGCGAACTGATGGCGAGCGGCGATAGTCCTCCGACAGTTCAACTTTGATAATTGATTGGTTGGGGCAATGTTTGGGCTTTGGGTGTAAGTTTGATACTCTAAGTTTGCTTGCAATTTGTTGTTCTTCACTTCTTTGCGCCGATTTCCATCTTTATTTAGGGTTTAAATTTGTTTTCTCGAAACTATATCATTTTCAGCGAAATAAATCAATTAAAAAAATTACACAACTTACTTGACCAATTGAGCTCCTAGTTCAACTAGTCAGTCAGCCGCCTAACAGCTAAGTAATGAGGAAATCCCTTCAACCTAGGGGCAAATAGCCCTTAGGTTGATTTTTAACACTAGATGAAATTCAAATGTAAATTTACTTTTTGTAAAGGGGTTATTATTTCAATTTATTACATTTCTAATCAATTGAACAAAATAAATATTTTTGTTCAATGGGTCTACCGACAAGTGATGTTGCGGCACATGGGATGGTAGTATGCAGTTCGGATGGTGCTTTTCTAGCAACTATGAATGGTAAACTTCCATGTTGCAATGATCCCTATCTTGCTGAAGCAATGGCGTGCAGGGAGGTCATTTCGTGGTTGAAGGATCGTGGCATTTTGGAGGTAGTGGTACATTTTGATTGTCTTAACTTGTGCAATGCTCTTTCTTCTTGTCAATTAGATTATTCTTAGGATTAGTGAATGTATCGTATTAGCTCCTTCATCTACTTCTTGTGTATTTAAATTTATCCGTCAATCATTAAATACGGTGGTGGATTATCTTGCGGTGAGAGGTATTTCTCAAGATACTCTTTTATGCTGGGATGAGTATCCGCCGGAGTTTATTGTAAATTGCTTTCCACTTAATGGTTACTGAAGTTCTTAAGTTAGTGTTCAAAAAAATAATAAAAAATTTTATCAAATGCATTATAATTTACGAAAAAAATTATAAGGTGAACATTTCTGCATTTTTGAAAACATTTCCCCCCAAAAAACTCTCAAAAGCTCATAAAACATTTCAAAATCATTTTCTTAAACAATGAATACTTATACATAACTAAAGAAAATATTTTATAAACACATATTTATATTCTTTATAGTTGTACATTTTTCTCGTGTGTTTCTTATATTATCCCACATATCTCTATTTTTTTTTTTAACGAATAGGAGTATAGGACATTAAAAAAAATAAAAATAAAATAAAATAAAGAGCCGTGGCTCAATTAATCTTTGAAACAAAATATAGGGGCTCAATAAAATATTATCTTTCAAATTATGAGTCAGAAAATTGGGAATTAAAATAAAATCGTGTGACCTAATCTCAGAGGGTTTTGGTTTAGTTTTCACCTCTCTAAGTTAAGGCTATATATTCTCCGTGTTAAATTCGGCAGGAGGGACATAGCAGTTTCCAATTCACAAAGAAGACTCAGAAAAAGATTCTTTGGCGTGCGTAAAACTGGAGAAAGACCGGAGATTCAGAACAGAACAGGCAAAGATTCAGACAGTGATGGCACGCAACAGTGGGAATTACAGAAACCCATGCCTGACAATGCATCAGCCCTGGGCTTCTCTGCTTGTTCATGGCATAAAGCGCATTGAAGGAAGATCTTGGCCTGCTCCCATTAGAGGTTAGCTCTTTCATCTCTCTCTCTCTCTTTCTCTCTGTTACCAATTTTCCCTTTTTCCCTTTTCTCATAAATCGTGTTATTCCCATGCGTGGGGTCAGTTGAATTGGGGTTTTGCTGTTGTCTCCAAGCCAAAAATCTTGTCTTTTTAATGTTTTAGTTAAATATGCACTAAATTCTCTAACATCGTTTTCTGGGTGCTGTTGCTGCAGCAATTTTGAGTCTGTGTTTGTATTCTCTTTTGGGGAGAATTTTAATGGTTGGTAAAGGAGTGATGTAGTAGCACTAACTAAGAAGAAAAAAAGAAGATTTTAGAATTTCTGAGTGAGGAGGGAAAAAACAGCCCCTACCCGGCTACCCGAGGTTGTGCCCGCCTTGTAACCCTAGTCAGCAAAGGAGCAAAAGAAGGTAAACGAGTATAAGTTGGCTCAATTCAAGAAGGGCAATAGGCCTTCCAGTTGGGAGTTGATCTTGTAACCTTGTGGATATTAAGTCAGCAACTTGACCAACTTGGCTGGATTGTCCCCAGAATTTGGATTTATTTGGATGTGACTTGTGAGGTGCTGCTAGATTCTAAATTCAGCTTGAATGTGATTATAGTGGAATGTTGAGTAATGGATATAGTGCTTGGTATAGTAGACGGCTGGTGGAAAGTTTTGGCTTTTTCTTGTTTTTTGGTTATGTTCCATTAGTTAATGATAGCTGTCACTACTATGGTGTATGAAATGTGCAGTTTTAATTGATGTTGCTTGATGAGACTTTAAAATATCTCTAGACACACTGTAAAATTCTGCTTCCTATACTGAATCTCAACTTCGCCAGTTGGTAGAACCATATTAGTACTGACTGGAAATTCGACCATTACGCTAGCTACTAGTTTTAATTGTGTTGTTGGGCGGTAGAAAGCTTTTTTCTTTAACTAAAGAGGCGCTTAAAGTTTTAAATGAATGACCATATGAAAATGCAAGCACTAGAGGTAATAGATTACGATGAGGATGTGAGATTAGTTTTTTTTTTTTCAATTAGGTGAATATCCCAATCAATCCAGTTTAATGCTATTTTCATTGCTTTGTAGTTCTTTTTTGAACCTATTCTTGCTTTGGAACTGTAATTCCTGGCTTGGATTAGAACATTCGGCTCTGTTTTATGTGATTCGTACATCTTTCTTGAACCTATTCTTCCTTGGGAATTATAGTTCAGATATGATGTTCGGAGGATGATCTAACTTTAATATGCCACAGTTCAGAGAAGTGTTTTTTTTTTTTTTTTAATCTTCTTTGAAAAGGTTCTTCCTTTCTGTATTATGGCTAACAAAAAGCGGAGAAATTTCACTTCTCTTCATATCGTATACAAGAAGACAGAACAAAAAGAGATTCCTAGTATTTTTGTCAACTCACGTCCTCAAACAAAATGGCTCAGGAAGAATGCATTCCTGATTTATCATCAGGACTAACTGTTAACAAATTATGTAGCCTCAACTTCTATGTTTCTTCTTTACTTGTTGTCAAAGCAATGGATAATACATATTTTTTCTTGGCTTTCTAGATTTAATTCCTTATGAACTAAGTATGTTTTTATTTTTTAAAATTTATGAAGGACGACTTTGGATTCATGCTGCCGGTAAGGTACCAGAACCAGAGACTATCAGAGCAATGGAGGACTTTTACCGGGAGATTTATGCAGTTAATGGCATAACAGATCTCAAGTTTCCGGAGCATTATCCCGTCTCAAGACTTCTAGGTACCAAATTCTTTAGTTTGTTTCAGTAATTCTTAACTCGTGTCTCTATAATTACAAGGGCTTTGGTGCTATGCACCTATAGTTATTATGTATTAGTGATCCCAAATCTTGGTAAACTTACCAAAAAGTAATACGTCTGTTCAAGCATTGAGATGATATTTCGTCACCTTTAGCCCTAAACATTGGTACGGGGTACTAGGGGCTAACTAACGAGCCTGTATCACAGGTATATGTAAACCCGTAGTTTAAAATGTCTGTATATGTCATGGAAGATTTGATTAGGTGATATTTGTTACTTGGATTTGGATCCAATTTTCTTTGATCGTATGTTCCTTTAATGGTTTGGGTAGGGTTGCTTTAGAGCTTGTCAAATAATTTGCGTGAGATGTTTATATGCAGTTATATGATACTCTCGATTAACACCACATGCATATAGCTAACCTACGAACCCAACGGGGTAGCTCAAGTGGCAAATGAGCTCTCTTTGTGGGGGAGAATTCCGGGATAACCCGGGTTTGATTCCCACAAGTGACGATTCCCCTTGGGCCAGCTCTCGTGCCTCCTGGAGCGAACGGGGATTAGTCTGGTGGACCTGGACCGTTAAACAGACAGAGAAAGACCCGGACCACCTTGTGGTTTACACCAAAAATAAATATAGCTAACCTACCATAACTTTATCCTTGTGTAGGTTGTGTTGAAGTGGTTGGGTGTGTTAGACGTGAAGAGCTAGTATGCTGGGACGAGATTCCCGAAGGGGTAAAACCCTCATTCTCTCTAATATTCGTCTATTTTATTACATAATAATGAACGGGGATGGTGTAATCTTGTATATATTGTATTCACATACGATTTTTGTCTACAGGTGAGACTGGAAGGACAAACCGACTTTTGCTGGCTTTGTGAGAAGCCACAGGTTTGCAAACTCCATCATAATCATACAACAATGCATTTTCTTTGGTTCTATATCCGATAAGAAACTGCTTTTATGACCAATGCAGAAACTCATCATTCCATTTGAGATGCGAGGAAACCAAGGAGTTTATAACTTGGAAAGGAAGGTATATATCACCCTGATTCCTAACAATTTTCATCCTTGAATTCTTGAATTCTTGAAATCTTGAATTCTTGAATTCCCTCTCTGTGTCCTCTAACCGGTTATTGCATTTCAAATTCGTGAAGGTGTACGAGGCTGCAGTGAGAGGTCTCACTCCGGTTACATCTCCACTCCCCGTGAAATTTCCCCTTCCGGATTCACGGAATCCTTTCTCTTTGAAACCGGGATCGCTTGCTTCTTCCGCCACCAACAGCCCCAGTTCATCCGAAACGAACAGGTCCGAGAGTCTTGCTACAGCAATAGCTGGCGCCCGTGCAGCTGCCACACAGTTCTCGAAGAGTAGTAACACCTTCCAGCCCATCAAAGAGGGCAACCCGATTTCCTCCAGGACGATTTACAAACCCAAGGAGCCTCAGTCGCAAAACAACTTCCCCGCAAGCCACAATACAGGAAGGTTTGATAAATAAACAGTGAAGTTAGGGTTGATAGAGCATTGGATCATTGTTGTGGATTGGATCTGGGTATGGTTTCAGATGAAGACATGAATTCTGTTTCAAACTTTTTTTTTACCATCTTTAGTGAGATGAGATGTACAGTGTAAGATTGTTGATCTGTTAGGTGAAGTTCCTTATACTTCTGTGTTATATTTACCTTGGTGACAAGTAAAAAAGTTGTGTGTAGGTAAAAAAGTTTTCGACTTTTCGTTTAATATGTTAATCTAATGCAAGTGAACATGTACAAAATCGGAGACATTATTGCACGCCTCAAAGAGTACTCCAATCTTGTTTATGTTATGCAAGTGAATGTGTACAGAAAAGTTGTAAAGTTTCGTTATTTGTTCTCTTATCAATATTAGATTGTTTTTGTACGAAAATTTTTTGACAAGTTAAGTCTGAATTAGATTACCTTCATCACTAGAGAAGTCGTATGAGACGAAAACTCTACTTATTAAACTTTTTATAATTATTATTAACTAATAATCAATTTACGTTATGGGAGAATTTCTTCATTGACATGCTTTGTGGTACGAACTATCTTGGAAGCCTACTTAGAGATGTTTTGCAATGAGTGAAGTTTCTTGGTTGCTATAATGCAAATTGGACTAATGCGAGTGAGTGCTGCAATCATTCCGAGATCTTTAGTGCGATTGGGATGCAATGTGTGGAAAATGTGAGAAAGGGAATTTCAATAGGGTGGAGAATTTTTATTTTCTTGTGAAAGAGGTCAAATGTGCCATCAAACTATTGCTCAAAAGTCAATTAGCTCATCCAACTTTGTAAAGAAGTAATTACATCTATGAATAATGCATTTTGATGCAGTGAAGTCCAAATACAAGTAAATGACCTGCTATCATAGGTCATTGCAAATCCGGCCACTTTCCGACATATTTTCAGGTAAAAAAGTGACCAGCGAACAGTCACCAGTCACGGAGAAGGCGATTGCCTTCTCCATTTTAGAAGGCCACCAGTGTGGTGGCCTTTTTCGGGAGGCGTCGCCTTCTCCGTGATCGGCTATCGGCGAACGATCGCCGATCACTTTTTTGCTTGAAAATATGCTGGAAAGTGGCTGGATCTGTAATGACCTATGATAGCATGTCATTTACCTATATTTGGGCTTCATTGCATTAAAATACATTGTTCAGGGGTGTAATTGCTTCTTTAAAAAGTTGGAAGGCCTAATTGACTTTTGAGCTATAGTTTGATGGCCTATTTGACCTTTTTTCTTACATATTTATTAGTTTCTCTATAGACATATCGTATAAAGTTTTACTTCTAGGACAGTGGTCAACACCGCTGAGTAGTTAATAGTCCAAATGATAACTAGTAATTACACTATCGAATGGTAAACAAATTAAAGTTTTACCTTTCACACAGTGACTCTAAGTTGAAAAAATTATACAAAAATTTGACATAAGATAGCTCGCAAGGCCAGTCAATTTTTAAATTGGAATTAACTCTGGTACTCCGAGCAGTACCCTCGAAAATAAATTTGGTATAACATATGCCTGCAAGGCCAGCCACTTCACCCCTACGCGCGAGAGAGAGTCTCGAATGAGTCTACTTTGAGCGTACAATGTATCAATCTCTTCGTCTCACTGTGAAGAACTTGAATCTACTTTGACCCGACCTAAATTGAAAATAAACTCCACATATATTTATACCACAAATAACTACTTAGATGTCAGTTTATGCTAGAAATTCCAACATAAAGCCACAGAGAAAATGTGCAAAACTCAATCGTAACACTTTTTTTAATGGACAGTAAATTTCTATATTTTTGGAAGAATGAATATAATCTTCCAGAAAAAGGATTGAAGTCGAATTGGTCAATGTGAATGGTAGAAAGACTAAAGATTGTCGTGTGTGCACCCAAAAAGGTGACCAAATACACTTAACCACTTTTTGGATTTAATCACTGCACGTCATTTTTTTGGTTGATAATTGCATCCAGGTGAATGCACCCTTTAATTTCTTGCTTTAACTATCAGGATGGTGACCCCTTCAACAATTAAATTAAACATATAACTATCCACTTAATTTTTCTTTAAAAAAATGACTTTTTTACTCGTTCAAATATAAATGTAAATTGAATTCAGGTCTGCAGTTATTGATGTCTCTTCTCCTTGTTTTCAGATTGACACTAATGTAAAGTTTTTGATCCTCTTAAAATAGATAAATCCACTAGGATTAGAGTAAAAAAAGATGATGTCGATCAATAACTACGATTCATAAAGAATCTAAATGGGATCATGATAGTATAACCGTCTGAGCGATGTAAGATCCAAAAGAGTTGTTGTGAGAGGTCACTAGGCCTTGTGGGTACCCCATCATGTTGATCCCATAAAAAATAAAAATAAAAATTGAATAGAGTCCGAATGAGACTCTTGAATTATAGTCTTACTATAAAGGGTGCGATCAATATCAGTGTAACATTTTTTTTAAGGATTTGAATTGTATGTTTTTATTCAATCTCTTTGATACTTAATAACTAAACACAACCTAAGAAGAAAAATGAACGTGATCATCCTTGTAGAAACATATTTTAGACATTTTTCTCAATCATACTACATCATCACAAGACAAATATAGAATCACTCCAAGTTCATTGTATTTGCATTCACTTCCAATTAAAACCCTACCATAAAACATCCTAAAATTTCTTTACTCCCTACAAAATATGACATTTTTTTTCTCTATATACCATCACATCATCATAGGATGGAGAATAAGGAATCACTCCAAGTTCATTGAATTTATGTTTAATCCAAAATGACAGTCTCTCTCACTCTCTCTCTCTCTCAGTTAATTAATTAATTTAGCTAATTAATAAAGGAGACCTAGTGATTAAGAATGTAATTAGGCAATTCTGCTCATACACCAAGTGGGATTATAATTTAATTATTAAAAATTACATATAGATAAACTGCAAACAATTATTTAATTCAAGAGGGCCCATATAGACATGAATTGCATTTAGATCATGCAAGATCTATGTCACATAATTAACTACTATTATAAATCTATCATAGATTATATTATACGGAGTAGTTAATTAGCTTTAATTTTTGGCTTTACTATACCTAAAGTTGATTAACATTAATTAGTAATAGATTACAATACTTCTACTGTTCAAGATTCTGTTATGCTTAATTGATAAGGTTGAGCCAACATTAATTGGAACATTGCATCCTAGAAAAGCAATTCGAGACCCCCACCCCAAGAAAAAACAAATTAAAATGATTCCTTGATTTGAAATTAATGTTTATCATCCAAAACCCATGCTAAATGTGCAAGGTGGATCATGTGGAAAATGCATGCTCTTAAAAAAAAAAAAAATCCAAAATTTATTGGTTACTTTTAGTTTGATGTATCTCATTTTAGCTTCTTTTTTTATTAGAAAACTATCACTATCAATGCTGAATAAGTGGCTTCTCGAAATATTATATTATTTTCTTTACTTTAATCCTTTAGATTCACAAATTTTAAATATATAATACTAAATCTACCTGAAATGATTGATATTATGTTCTAATGATTAGCGGAGTATGATTTGATCGATGAAAGTATAATCTTATAACTTTTAACACAATCACTACAGGACAGAAATAAAACATGTTCTGTCTGAAATTATGATAACAACAACCAACAACGTCATCACGTCTTTCACATTCATGTGTGTACTATGTAGCACACATGCATTATGTATCCCATACAAAGGACATGCAAATGAATACACTATCTTCTATCTTTTCTTTCACGAAAAAAAGCAAAAACAAACGAGAAGAATATAAATTCGGGTCTTAAAACATCAATAACATCAACATTTAAGATGGTTCGGTCTCCACTTCCAATGTTGCACTCAATCAAAATTATTAGGTGGCAAAGTATAACAAAGCTAAGTGATATACATTATTATACATGGGGTATATCCATTAACCATCCATTTCTTGATGATGATTCATTCAACCATAAAAGAAAAGATAATAATAATAATAAAAAAAAAACATTATAATTTACAAAAATGAGATTAAACCAAAGAACAGAGTCTATGATGATTCACCATTGATTAGGTGTCATGATTTCACTTGATGAACAACTCAAAAGTTGTTCCAAGTAATCAGCTCCTAAGTCTTCAAACACGACCACATTTTCCACCACCTTAACATCTCCGACGACGACCTTGCCGGTTTTTCTGCCGGAGCGGCGCTTCCGCATGGAGTGGCGCCGCTTGAGCGCCACCACCGGCGAGCACCCCTCCTCCAGCTGGCACCTCATGTCCTTGAGCGACTCCCGGACTCTCTCCACCGGAAAATTCAAGATCGCCGCCGCCCCTCGCATTGCGAACGCCGCTTGGTCGTACGCCAAGGCGGCCGCCTCCGCGCTGTCGAACGTCCCCAGCCACACCCTTATCCCGTTCCGAGTCGAGTCCCGTATCTCCGCCGCGAACTTCCCCCACGGCCGCCGCCTCACGCCGCGGTACGACCTCTCCGCCGCCGCCTCCGCCTCCGCCTTCACGCTGTCGGAGGAATTCGTGTCGTCGGAGTTCTCCTGCTCTCGTCCCGCCGCCGCCTGCTCCAGCACCCCGAAGAGCAACATCTCCTCGGAGTCGTTGAGGTTAAACGGCAGCGAATTGTCGAAGCTCCGGAAGTCCCAGGAGGAAGATTCCGGCGAGAAGGAAGATACCCAGGAATCCATTTCTCTCTTTTACACTCTTTTTCTCTGTTTTTTCTTGGAATTTTGTGAATTTTAAGGAAAAGGGTGACAAATTTAGTATTCTGTTAACTGCTACGAAAACATGTCTGGAGGGGCGCTTCTATTTATACCAAGTGGCAGTGGGTCAACCTACAAAATCTGAAAAATTAATAATTAATAATGGGGAAATAAAGTTTTTAAAAAATAAAATTTAAAAATTGAAGATATGAAGGTGAAAAGGGAAAGAGGGGAGAAATGTGGCTAAGGAGGATGTTTGTGGATTAAAATATGATTTTTGTGAAATAGTTTAATGGCAATGGGAAATTCCGCACGTGGCTCAAATCATTCCAGGCGCCGGCTCCGGCGGCGAGGTCATGAAATGGCGTCAGCAAGACACCAATTGTATTTTTTAAAAAAAGGAAAAAAATCTAAGACAATAGTAATTAATTTGATTAGATTATTGACTGTTGATTTGGTTTCGAAAAAGTTATACGAGTTGATCAATCATAAAAAATTATTACACTTCGCCTGATGACTTGTTTGTAAACTCAACTATAAATTATCTATTCGATTTTAATGTGATCTAGATATATTAATTAAATAATCAAATCCTGACAGTCGCAGTTATAAATTATCTATCTGATCTCAAAGTGATCTAGATAGATAAATTAAATAATCAAATCCTGACCGTCGCAGTGTAAAATTTTACTTAATGTGGTTGATTCCTTGTAGTGGGCACCAAACATTTGTTCTCCAATATAAAAGGTTGTTGAATCATCGTGATCTATCTTTTTACAATTCTACTGGACTAAGATATGAATCCGGGGCGAGAGAATTTGTTTTTTTATTTTTTATTTTTTATGGTGAGATAAATTAAGGATCCTCCTACCTAGGATGCTGGATGGAAGTTTCGCTGTAGTGCTATGAAGAATAGTGATTGCAAATTGCTATATATGAATTTTCTTCCATAATTGACCTCATAAGTCTTAAATTTCTTGTTCACATTACACTACAGTGACTGCAACTGTCAAGTCCTTGTTCCAACTATCCACTGCCCTCCAAGTGGCATGTAAATGGAGGTACAAGTCATCATTACTGCCAACTATATCTTTCTTTTTTAGTTGCGAATTAATTTTTCAACTATTATATATACATATATACGATCAAGTTCTCGTGCGGTCACTCACCATTAGGTATGCATAAATGCATCACAAAGTGTTCAAAAATGCATAATTAGGTGTTGTGCATTTTTTTGGAGTGTGGTGTGTTTTGTGGTGCATTGGTGTATTTCATTGTAATGCATTTTCGAATACTGTGTGGTGCATTTATATAGTTGAGTTCAGGTGCAGCGGCGCCGTCCCGTGCGGTCAGTGTGACCCCACTAATAGTTATGCAAATATACACCATCCTCGATAGGAAATGCACAAGTGCACAACAAAAAACATGCACAAATTAAGTACGCATCACCAAAAACACACCATTAGGTATGAATAAAATCATCCTACAGTGTTCGGAAATATACCATTAGAGGTGGGAAATTATATAGTGCATTTTTTGGGGTCCGTTATGTGTTTTTTGGTGTATTTCTTCATGTCATTGTTGTGTTTTTTTCCTAACACTATTGGTGCCTTTTGTTAATACTGATGGCGTATTTTGTCAAGCGACCGCATAACCGCACCGGAAGGTGCAGCCGCATCTGAACAAATATATATATATATATATATATATATATATATATATATATATATATATATTTTGATCACTACATTCATAATTAATAACACATGATCAATCTATTGATCTTTATCTGTTAGAATGTGTCATCATTACTGCCAACTATATATTTTTTTCTTAATTGCGGATTTGATTTTTCAAATATTCTATTTCTTTCTATTTTAGATCACTACATGCCAAGACCTTGTGGTCTAATGACACCCAGATTAGACTTTCAAATAAGACGTTGTGAGTTTGAGTAACAATGGAGGCGTTATTGGCTATTTATGCTTCAATAGATTAAAAAAGTAGTTATTGAACATATATTATATTGTAATAGAGTCAATAGCATTCAAAATTGAACACTATCGATCTCTATCAAGTCAGTTTAAGGTTCCACTATTTCAGTTTCAACAACCCAATAATGCAATTGGCTAAAGCAAATTCAGACTCATCAAATCAAAATTGAAAAAAAATATATAATAATTGGAAAACTAAAATTAACTTTTTGTTTAAAATAAATCATAATTAGTTTATTCACAGAAAAATTCAAAAAAAAAAAAGGTTTATATGAAAAATACTTTACATTAATGTTTGTTTTTAAATATTGGTGATTACACTTTGTAAATTAAAAGAAAAATAAATTTAAAATTTGTTAACCCTCAATACTATTTATTATTCTACCCATAGTTATTTGTATGAACATACATGCATGTGATGATCGAAAACATATGAATATTTGGGGTATAATATATGTGAATGTTTTAGTCATAAATAATAATAGTATACATATTGCCGTGATCAAGTAGATGAAGCATGATTCTCGTACCAAAAATGTCACGAGTTTGATTCTTGATGATAAATTTATCTAATGCACACAATCAAGTAGTAGTGGTTACAGTTTTCCTCAGCACCAATTTTGACACGATACTCAAGTCAAAGCCTTATTGCCTGTCCCTTAAAAAGTTGACGTCCATAATGAATTACACTCTAGCCTCTTTTCTGTATCAAGTTGTTGGCATACTATGGACAACTTTCACTCCGACTATTTTAAGAGACACGACACTCAAACCAATGTCCAAAATCTCATAAAACTTAACTTAAAAATAGAGATTTAGCATCGACTTACGTATTACTCTACAATTTCTTATAAAACTGATATGTGATCATACAATATTTTAATTTAAACTATTTCAAATAAAAATAAGATGTTCATAATTTTCAAAAACGCTTATTATTATACTATATAGAAAATGAGGACATCTCAGATGATTGGAAGTTCCTTGTACAAGCCAGATTCCTAAAACAAACGCAGCAACATTGAAACCTTTTTCAATCAAAAATCTTCAATATGTCCAATGCCTATAAGGCTATAACCATAGACTAGCTCACAAGGAAACAAATTTCACCTGATTTATTTGACCTTAAATTAATCATATCATTATCAGCATCTATTAAACATATTTTTGCCACATGTTTCTATTATCAGCTGCACTCCATCAAGATAATAAATATAAATAAGCGAAATTGAAGTTTATCTAGAATCAATATAATATACTTTAAAATAATGAATAGAAATAAGTGAATTTCAGTATATATGTATGGGAGGTTTGGTTAATCTGTGTCTTCATATTAAAATTGTGTTTTAATTTTTAAACTTATTTTTTCGGCCCCACTAAATAAGATTTCTGTTTGCCCCTGTCAACTATTATATGCCTACTCAACGTTACATTGCACCCCATGAGAAAACTAACAAATCTTAGCTTCACATATGGAAAAATCAGATGTACTATACTATTTTATTTTATTTTTTTAACGTGGTGACATTTTCATAATTATCACTAACTTTATACTGTGCACTTCTCAGAATTTTCCAGAAATATACACATTATGTTGTTAAAAAGTGCACGTTTAGTATTAAAAATTGCACTTTATAAAAGACAAACTTTTAACACTATATACTGTGCACTTTTTAGGACATTCCAGAAATGCACATTATGTTGTTAAAAAAGACCGGTAAAGTATTAAAAATGTACATTTGTCATTTAGTATAAAAAATTACATGATAAAATGCAAAAGTGCAATGCACTTAGGGTTTGGGTTTTAGAATTTATGATTATTTTTTTATTTGGTTTAAAGATTCACATTTTACTGCTTAGGGATTAATATTTATAATTTAGTTGTTTTTTTTCGTTGAATTGATATCTTAAAATGTTATCCAAAATGCATATCATGTTGTTAAAAACTGCACATATAGTATTAAAAGTTACACGATAAGGTGACAATAATTACAATAATGTCACTGTATTTTTTTTTTAAGTTGTCCATAATTACAATATCAACTCACCAACGCTCGAAGCTATATGTAGCATAGTAATTAGCTTCCTAATGAACATGTCAAGCCTTAATTACATCTTTAATTAAGTTAGCTCTCTAATGATATGCAAATGGGGTCATTATATTCATTCCACACAATACCTTCCCAATTACCACCTGCGAATCATTATATCAAACTCAATAATCTTTTTATAACCCTTTCCCCAACTCAAAGAAACCCATAATGGCTGTCAAACTAATCACTCTGCCTACCTAAAATAAGTTTTTAAAAAAATCATAGTTGAACATATATAATGAAGATGCATGAATAATCAGATTGTAATTAATTTGAATACTAATAAATAATTAATACTTGTAATCCTCTAATTAATTTATCCACTTGGTGATGATGCTTATCACGAGAAAAGAGGTTTTGATTTTGGACCACCAAAGAGTGCGACAACTCAATACGTTTGTTCTTCTGATCTGCACATAATTGTCAAAATAAATTTGGTTTGTGCGCATGCTATGAATGTTGTCTGTCGACTTAAACAAGGAAACAAAAAAGGTTACCAGTCTACATTGTCATATCCATATTTATATATATTATAGCCATTATCATTTAATGGAATTTCCAGTTTGGAATTCTGTTAATTAATAATATTTTCTCTGCAGCCTGCGGTTTGAAATTGAGTATAAGCTAAGTATCAATACAATGGTAATTAATCAACAATTTGGGGGTGTGGTTGAGTGGAAGGAACTTATCCATCCTTAATCAAAGGTTAAGGGTTTGATCATTGATTTTTAATATGGAGCAATCTTACATCTGCAGACCAGTTGTCCCACCCAAAAGAGGTGTCTATCCTTAACCAAAGGTCAAGAGTTTGATCTTTGGCTTTGGGTATTGAGCAGTCTTAAATCTCCAGGCCAGCTGATAGGGCGTAGAGCGTAGGGCGATGATATCACTTGCTCCCGGCTCAGACGCACCAAAAAAAATATTACTTGCATTATATAAAGTTTAATTTCCTTAAAACATATATATTTGCTTCTTTTCTCAATTTGAAGTGTGATAGATTGT